TCTGTGCATGCTGTGGTACTGGTCAAACCTACTGTCTTAAAGGCCAAATTTAAGGACAAAGCTCCCCAGACCACCTTCCTCATGCACACTGTGACACTGGTGTAGCACTGTCCTGTGGGACCAATGCTTCAGGAGATCCTTGGCTACTGACAATGAAGGAATGGGACTGCATACACACGATTCGGTTTTTGAGGTTCTCTGCCGATCTCTCCCTGTGTTTCCCTTTTATTAGCATGATTTGGTAAACAGCAGCTGGTGTTGTCATTCAGTTAACCAGAATTCCCAGGATCCTTGCCAACCCAATGTTTTGACTTCACCCAATCACACTATCATTCTGTGACTGTTTTCAGCCACGGTACACCATGCAGACCATTAAACGGTTTTCCACTTTGAGAACACAGCACTCTCTATGTCAAAACACTAGTCAAGGGCGGTGCTCCCTTTTGATCCTAATTAACTGAACCGCAGGTGCAGCTGGCTTAACTTGTTTCCACACTTGTCATTGCAAGTCCAGCTACCATGATGGTTCACAGAATCACAGCTCCTGGCAAACCCAACTCTTGCTTGCAGGCAGGCATGGTCCAAAAACCATAATTCCTACTTCTGAAAAGGTACTTTTCCTACTTTGTCAAAGGAACCAATATCACTGTCATGGTTTGAACTCCCCAAAAAAATCCAATTTCCAAAACTCCCCACAATTTGCCTCAATGTGAGAGAAGTTTTCAAACATAACACAACTACTAGCATGGGGAAATTATATTAAATTTTAGTACTAACACAATAAATACTATAATACATTTATATACAACAATCCTAACTATCTCTCCTATGGTAAAGCAATATATTTACATAGATCAAATCCCTCCTTTTCCTCCAATAAAAAGTCCAGAAGGAAAGAAGAAGATCACTTTCAGGGCAGCACAATCTCTTCTCTTCCAAGCAGCAGTTTCACTTTGTCATAGCTGGAAAATCTCTCTCTCTCTCTTCATTACAACGCAGGGTTTTTTTCTCACCCCTCTCGGCCCTTCGGCTCCAACTGAAGGTCTCTCCCGTGGGCTGCAAAGCAGGGACAAAACTCACCTTACCACGGTCATATCACAGGGTGCAAGGCATCCAGTGAAAGTCCCTTCCTTGGGGGGTCAAGTTCCCCTGAGTCAGAACATTTAGGGGTTCTCAGTTCAGTTTTTTGCCCCAAGCGTTCTAACAGAGCTCCTTTGCTCCATCTCTGCTGCAAACATGGTGGAGGGGGAGGCCACTTCCCCCACATTTCTTGGTCTGACTGTCCTGGTCCAGCTCACAGGACGTCTCCGAGTTCTCAGCTTCTCTCTCTCTAGCTGCTGATACATTTTGGGACTCCCTAAAAGTTTGGAAGCCCACCCCTCCTTTCTAAGGAGGTCTCAGGGTTTTGGGAAAGTAATTCAGTCTTACCCCAAAACAGTCTCTACTGAGTTTTCTCTGCTCTGTTGCCGACTCTCCCTCTTTGCAGGACATCTCTGCGTCTCTCAGCCTGGCTATGTGCCATATTGCTGCTTGCCGGTTATCTTCTTGGGTTTCAGCCACAGCTCTCTATTCAGTGCTCTCTCCTCCATTTCAGCGTTTTCTGCTGCCCACTAACAGTGGAGAAACTCCCCCCAGCCTTTGGCCACGGTACCCGGTCCAGTTTTAACACTGCGTCGGGCCCCCCGCAGCCCAGTTGGGGGCTGGGGCCTTGGCCCCCAGCAGGGCTCACTGGCCCCTCTCTCTAACACGTGGCGTCTCAAGTCATGGCTACCTCTCCTCCCAGCTACTACCACAGTCACCCTCCCCTTTTGCAGAGAACATGCAAACAATCTCCTTCTGCAAAATTTGGCCCAACCTGGGTTAAAATGTTCATGGTGACCTCTGAATCCATCTCACATTCCATCCCCTGCTCCCATCCTTTATGAGGGTCCATCAAAGTCTGCACAAGCAGAAAAAAAGACCCCAGTCCCTTTTCTTTTGCAAGGGTCTTCTTCAGATGCAAAGTTGTGGGCAGTGTTCATTGATGGGTGGCATGACCCACTGGGTGCCATAGGATGAAAAAAAAGAGTGTACTGAGTGGTGGCATCCCTTCCTGTCCAGCTCCCATCCCAGACCTGATGAGTTTGGTTTGGTTTGAGGGTTATTTTATGGAAATTTTTTGTTGAGTTGGTTGGTTTGATGGGTTTTTTTACAGAAAAATTTTTTAAAGAGAAAATGTTGAAAAGTCAGTTTTCTCTCTTGCAAGGCTGCTGTGTTTGAAGCAGAAACAGGAAGGAGAAGAGTTTCCTTCAGTGGTTTTCTTTCTCAGTAATCTGGGACCACAGAGCCCATGTGGTTATTCCAAGCTGCTAGGAATTTCCCAGCATGCCCCAAGGATACTGAAATACTACACTGTTACCTGGGTGCATTTGTGTGGACCTTCCCAAGCAGGACAGGAGGGCTGCTGGAGCACATCTAGCCTGGGAGGGGCAGGATGGCTTGAGGGCTGGAGCCTGGTGGGATACTGTGTGAGATGTGGAAGACAGCTCAGTGCCAGGGGACGGAGAGGTCTCAGGGCAACAAGGAACAGATACAGGGTTCAAAGGGTTTTTTGTTCACCTTATGGATGGACAAGGCAGAAGAGGGACATGGGATGCTGTCGCTTGTTTTTTTTAATTTCTCAATAGTCAGGACATCATTTCTCTGATATTTTTTTAATTTTAAATTCAAGTGAAAACTGCAGAATGAATAATTTGGTAACCCTGGGGTGATAACCTGATCTGGCAAATAACTTTCTCCTCCATGTGACTGGGTAGATAATGAAAGGATGAACTCTGCAAACTTCCCCAGAGGAAGACATAACAAGATTTGACTGCAGGTTGACTTCAGAGTCACAGACACAGTTGGGCAATTGCCTTATAGAAATGGGTGTAGAGAGGAATTAGTCATCACTGTTTGGTTAATAAGTGCCTTGGTTATTTTACAAGTCTTTTCCCTGCATATGCAACATCTTTTTTCCTTTTGTAATGAAACATATAAATAGGTCCCATCTTGGATCTTCTATGCATACAGTTGTGTCATGTAAATTATCATCATGCTTTTGCCTGGCTTTCTTTAGCAACTGCTTTACTTACCTTTGTTTCAAAAGAAAGATCTCCTGTTTGTTGGCTTTTATATCTCCCTGGTTTTGCAGAATGCAGAATGCAGCTGCAGGTCAGATCATTCACAGCAGCAAAGCCTTTTGTCTCAGGCAATAGGAATAAACTGAGATGAAAAAGATAAAAGATAATTTATTTAGTTGCTGGATTTCAAATGTTGTGCAACCCGCACCGGGAACACACAGTGTTGATAACAAACTTGTCCCGTTCTTTAATTTTCCCCTACTTAGTGTCTACTAATTTTTAACACCGAGGAATGGCCACTATGGAGACAAACAAAATTACATGGGACATTGTGCAAGAAGCTCTGCAGCATTGCTGAGAGCCCAGGGAAGCCCTCTTGGCTCTGAGTGCAATGCACTATCTTGTGCCATCCTCTAGAAAAGTTTTTATTTGCTTTTCTGTGTTGCCTCTTGCTCTTTGCCACACACTCCCAACACATGCATCCCTTTTCATATCCTGCTGTCCTGGTTAGAACGGCTGGGACCAATTCATCCCTGGATGGGTGTAACCCAAAACTGTGTATTCTATAGCCTCCATGCCATTTCCCAAAAACTGCTGTCAGTAGAGGCCTGCAAGGTGGGAAGATGTTCCTGTACCCTTTTATGGAATTCCCCGCTCTGATATCCTTATATGGAATTCCCCGCTCTGATAAGAGGGACTGAGCATCCACATGCCCTTTTATGGAATTCCCTACTCTGAGGGAGGGACTGAGCACTCCCGCCTGAACTGGAGAGTATATAACTGGGAGTTTCAGAGCCTTGGGGCTCTCTCTTGTGGGACCCAGAGGAAGACAGCAGACCACTGCTGCTCCCAACCAGGCTGAGACCACCACCCTCAACTGGACTGCAATCACCACTTCTGACCAGACTGCAGCAGCTCTCCCACCAGCAGGTTTTATCCCCTCTCCCTTTGCTTTGGACTCGGGGGTGGGCCAAGGTACACCACTTTTGTTCATACCCCAGGGTGCTGGGTTTGTACATTTGGGTTTTGTGGGTTAAAACCAATTGTCTGTCTGTATAATTGTACTTATTGCATTACTTTAATAAATTGTTATTCTGACTTATAAATCTCTCTTTTGAATTGAGTTCATTTTGCCTTGCTGGTTAACTTTTAAACCAGCACACCTGCCTTTGGGCAAACCCTTTTTTTTCACCCCAGGTAGAGGACTGATGGGGTGGCAACTGTCTCCCTGCATGTTTCCTCCTGATGTTGCTCCATAAATCACATCACTTGGATAATCCTTGGTCATGGCAACCATGAGCTCAGGAGTAGGGTGACCTTTTAATGCCAAGCCCAGGCTGCCCTGATCTTCTTCTGGTCTGTCAGGGACCCAGTATCTGCCATAATTTTGTGATACACCAGGGAGCAGCCAAGCCATTAGGATACTCCTGGCCAGACACTGGGTCTACCGAACATACTAGAATGAACAGGTTGGGCAAGTCCACCTGGACCACCAAGCCCAGCATGGTCACCAGCATTCATTATGTTTCCCCTGCATTTCATTTAACCTCTTTGTTGCTGCTTTTATTCGATCTCAGTTGTGCATATGGAAGAGTCCCTGTGTCTGTCCAAGGGGTACAGAAGGCCATGGGGGACACCATCTCTAGCACAAGTTGTGACAGTTATTGTAGGGGTTGGTTATATTTCTACCAGTACCTGCTTTCTGGTGACTTTGTTGTGTCGAAATTCCAGCCACTCCATGTGTGTTATCTCCCCGCCGTTACTAGAGTCAGTCTGACTGTCTTCCTCCCCTCCCCCCAAGTTTCAATTTCCTCCTAATTCTCTCTCTAGACAGCCAGTGCCTCTCCCATGATGATGCGGTTTTACTGATATAGTCTGTTGTCTCTGTCCCTCTTGCAGAAGGATTTCACCATGCGGGAGAAGTTGCAGCAGCAGGATGTGGAGCACTGGTTGGGGTTCATCACCTTTCTCTGTGAAGTCTTCAGTACCATGAGGAGCAGCACCGAAGAGCCCTTTCGAGTCCTTGTCTGCCCCATTTATACCTACCTCAGGGAGGTAAATGCCTTCAGAGTTTGTTCTTCTCCACTGATAGGCCAAACTGTTGTGTTGCAGTGCTGAGGTGCTCATGATTCATAAATTACACTGGCACAGGTTGCCCAGAGAAGCTGTGGATGCCCCATCCCTGGAAGTGTTCAAGGCCAGGTTGGATGAGGTTTGGAGCAATCTGATCTAGTGGAAGGTGTCCCTATGGCAGGGGGATTGGAACAAGATGATCTTTAAGGTCCCTTCAAACCTAAGCCGTTCTATGATTCTGTGTTTGCTTTATGATTCCTAGAGGTTTGCTTTGCTAGCATCAACACTTCTCACCTCAAAAGTACCTAAGTCTGCAAGGATGCTTGGCTTTTCCTGTATATTAAGAGCACGTGTTCCAAGCAAGACCCCTTTGTCCAAGGGTTTGCAAAACGGTTGGGATTGTGAACCCAACGTTTGAGTTTGAAAATCCCAGTGTTGTGAAAATTCCCACCTAAGGGGCTTAAAAAGCTTCTTAAAGCAGGTGAAGCCACGTGAATGGATGAGATGGACTGAGGGGAGGAAAGAGCAGAGAAGTGAGGTCCCATATGTCCTTATTCCCCACTTAGTGCAGCAGAATCTCAGCCCTGCCACCAGAGTTGGGGACATTTCAGAACCTGAGCTTCTGATGAGCTCATTTCAGAGCCTGAGCTCCTCATGGTTTGGGGTGGTGGCAGAAATCTTGGTGAGGAAAAACAGAAAAGGCGACTCAAGGAGGGCTTTCCCCCATTCTGTTTTAATGGCGGCTTTGTCTCCTGCTGCTGTCTATAGAAGACTTTCTCGGAAAAACCTGCCTTGTTGCCCAGGGTTGAAGCTGTGAATCTCAAATTGTCAGTAGTGTTTCTGTCGGGCCATAAATAACTGTCTCAGTTTAATGAGTCTGAAGTGTTTGCTGAGGAGGATGAGTTATGAGGAAGACCAAGCTCCTCCTTCCAAGCAATTGTAAATCCAAAATTAAGAGGCTCCAATTGAGGAAGTATGGAGAAAGAAAAAGATAACAGCCTTTTATTAAAGGATATAGATGTATTGGCAGAACAACAAAAGAACACAAAACCAACTAAACAATAATTTTGCACCCAAAGTTCCCTACAAAAAAAAGTTCAGTACTTTTCACCTTCTGGCGCAATTATAACCACTATCAGGAGGGGGCGCTGTTGGATCTCTGGAGGAGCAGAGCCTGCAGTTGCTCTGTGGTGGTCAGCAGGGGGCGCTGTTGGACTCTGGCAGTCGCCTCATGGGGGGTCCAGTGCACGGGAGAAGCCAAAAATGGAGATCTCCCCCCCACCGAGAAGGGGAAGGGAAAAGGGGGAAAAGGGGGTTCTTCCCACGAACTCACGCTGTCTGAGGCTGCCTCTGGCTGGGATTTCCCCCCCTTCATTGATGGGCACAAGCCGCTGCCAACACGGGAGCGGAGGAGGGAAAGGGGGACCTCCTCCCCCAAAGGTTCCTCTGCAGATGGGTCAAGCCTCTCCGATGAAATCCGAGCAGGTCTGGGCTGGGGGCAGAACAGGGTGCAGGAAAACAGAGGCAAACCAGGGCCAGAAGCAGCCAGATGACCAGGCTGAAAATAAAATGAACCTCGGACCCCTCCACGCACACACCCTCCCTGAGTCAGGGCAAAAGTGAAGTGCCTGCCATTTCCAAGGAGAGGAAAAAAAACTCACCTCCCCCCCAGCCTTCTGACAGCCATCAGTCTGCAATGTAGGCCTGCTAGTTAGTTCTTTTGTGTGTGTCAATCACCCTCCCCCTCCCTCGTTCAACATCTTTCTTTTACAGTGAAGCAGGGGAAAGGAAAAATTCCCAGCTTGGTTTTTTTTTAGAACAAGTAAACCTATGACAATAACTTGCTGTAAAATAAGTTCTCTGCTACACCTTGGGCAAGGGAAACATAAAGAAACTGCTGACAATGACTTTTTGACATGTATGGAAAGTTTTCTCTGAATGAAAACACATAATAAACATTTTTTCTTCATGGTAATATTGTGGGTAGGATTCACAGACGGTGACTGTAGCAGTGAGAAAGAGTGCAGGCATCATGATGGGGCACATATATCCAGAGGAGGAGGCCGGAGAGGGATGCTAAGAATAGCCTAACTTCCTCAAAATCTCTGCCCACTGAAGTATGTGTCAATTTATGGGGAAGATCTAGGCATCTAGCAAAGTCCTTGTTTCACTTTGCTTCCCATCACAGTCATGACACAACCCAGCCCTGATTCTGCCAGGATTTTTCTATGCCCACTCCTGTCTGCCCTTGCCATGCCATCATGGTCCCTCTTGTCATCTTGCTGGTATGTGGGGACACAGTGACAATCTAGAGGTGCACAGAAGGACACGAATTTCACATATTAGGGATATTTTTTGCTACCGGGCAGCTCCATAAAAAAGCCTTTACTAATTATATCAAGATGTCATGCATAAATTTACTTCTTAAAAATACATCTCTGTTCCTTAGAAGGACAGCTCTGTCCCTGTGGTGTTGTTTGTCAGAGAAGACTCTTAGCTTAGCTGACATGGGTGAGCTTGAGCCTTCCAGCTCTCCTGCCCCAAAATGGTTGATCTGTGACTGCTCACTCTGCAGGGTTGTGACCTTTTACTCATGCTGTTCCTCTTCCACAGCTCTGGGATAGGTTTTCATCTTGCCACCAGTTTTTGCCACCGTCAGCTGATCATGATGCACAGGGCCAGCCCAGGAGATCACAACCACCTATTTATCAGTAGTGATAGTAGCCAGGCTCTGAGATGGTTGCCAGAGACAAAGTCAGGCTGTAGATTCAGACGAGGAGGTGGTGGTGAGCTCCTCCAGCTGTACCCAAGAGAGGACAAGGATATTTGCGCAGACTGCCCCTGCCGGGTGCTCTGTGAGAGGGTGAAAATTCCCTAATCATGCAGAGTGCTTGTCCCTTGATGAGCTTCATGAAGCACATGGGCTGGTGTCCCAGGGCAGGAGGAGGGGTCACCATGGCCTATAAGGTTTGGGACCTCCACTTTCCTCGGGACAGGTTCACAAGGTGTACAAGTGCTCATCATGGGTTTTTTCCCCTTCTTGCTGATTGGCACATACATCCCTGTGTACATTTTCAGCCACTTGCCCCTAACTCCTTCCCCCTTGGGTATCCCCCATCAAACCCCCTCCATGTTGCCCACAATCATGCTTAGCTCCCTCTGCCTCTATCCACCATCCTTTGATGATGAATCATTAGCAGAGGTGAGATCTCTTCCTCTGCCTGTCCTTTTAGCTCCTCTTGCTTTTTAGTTTTTCTTCTTTTCCCTTTTTCCCTTTTCCTCTATAGCCTTTCTTGCCTTTCCCCTACATTTGAGTCTGCGATGCAAGATGTAGATGGGTATCCACTCCCCTCCCTTCTCTTAGTGCCTGTTATCTCTGGGGGCCATGCTGTGTAATTGAGCAAAATATCCTAGCATGGTAATTAACCTCTCAACTTCAAGAGGGCACTGCCTTTTCACTGTCTCCTTCAGAGGAAGAGAGAGGAAAACCTTCCCAGCTGCAGTCAGATGAGCGAGGAGGGTGGTGCTGTTCGGAAAAGAAAAATTGTATCTTTTGATGTGGTTTTTTTGTTTGTTTTTAATCACTCTCACTGTTTAAAAAGCATCATCCTTTTGAGTAAAAAAAATAGTCTTTGACAGTATCATGAGATGCCAGGATTTTACTATTACTCTCCTAGTCAGAGAATGAAACAGAATTTTTCCTTTATTGAATGAGCAAAGGCACCAAGGGGGCTGGATCCTGACCCCATGGCACCCTTCCACCCAGGTATCTTCACGAGGCCATATCTGACCAGAGAAAATAAGTCCTCTATGAAGAAGTGAACTTATTTCCTCATAAAAGGAAATTCCCCCCATGTAGTTTTGCAAAACTATGTGGTTTGGTCTCCAGTCCTGTGGGACTGGGACAAACTGGGAAGTGGTTTGTAGGGGGAAAGGATGGAAAAGGGATGAAAAATGCAGGCATGGGAGGGAAGGGATGCCAGGGAAGGAGGGACAAAGAGGAGACTGAGGGTCAGGGACATGGGAAAGAAGGAGGAATGGGAAGAGCAAACAAGTGAGAAAATGTGGGAATCCAGAAGAGGAGGATTGAAGAGCTGGAAGAAAAGTCTGTAATTTGGAGCAAGGATGATGCATGGGGTGATGTGGACCTTCAGAGTCATGGCAGGAGGTAGCATGCAGGAGCAGGGATCTGCAAAGAGGAGGGACAGGCACATGTCTGTCTGTAGGACCACGCTCCGGGAGGCAGGGATGGATGTCCCTGTGCCTCCATGCTTGCCATGCCATAAATAAATAAAAAGCTCCCACACACACAGAATCCCCTGTAGCTGCACTGGCAAAACCCCTCCTGTGAATGCAGCTTGTACAGGAAAAAACTTCTTTGTCACCAGTTCAGTCAAAGGGCAGAGTTAAGATGAAGGAAATTTGGTGATGCCTTTGAGCCCAGCTGCTCTGTTGAGCATTTTATGTGCAGGAACATATATTCTTGGAAAACTACTGGACTTGTTTAGTCCCAGCATTGAAACTACAATGGCATATTTTAAAAAGGGGAGGGGAAATGCCACCCTTGTTTCTCTGGGACCCACGGAGAAAGCAGAGGAAGCAATTAGGGCAGATGAAGAAATGAAGCTAGATAACATCTCAGAGGATGGTCCCTCCTCCTCGTGTGGCTTTGTTTGTGGCTTTGCCCTCTGTACCAGGCATTGTTAGTTCCCAAAAACCCTTTCAATGGGATGTAAACACAATTATTTGTGTCTGCCACCATGCACTCTCTCCCTCTGCAGAGCCAGGAAAGCAGAGAGTCTCTGGCAAGCCGGAGTGGAGCCCATCGCAATCAAGTGCAATGGTCTTGCCACTGTTTCTCTCCATGTTTTGTGTTTCCCCAAGACCCTCGGAATGAGATCATATCCTCCTCTCCCAGGGTTATTATGTCTTTGGCCAGGCAGGATGAAGATGGTCACTTGGGTGGCTCGGTCTCCCAGTGC